CCCCCCCCTGTGTGCGCCACTGCTAATAAATACAAATTTATATGTGGTCTAAGTATATTTCAAAAATGACAAATAATCAGATAATGAATACATTTATTAAGAAGGTATTATAAAGGATAAAATATACAGGTATGAGCAATTACCAATGAGCACCTGTGGCCTGTATAATATACAATATTTAATATATTGATTAATACAATTATATGTATTAAATATTAATAATATGTATTTGCAATGTATTTATGTATTCACAAAGTCAAATACACTATAATATATATTAACTATATATAATATATAGGTATCTGGCCTGCGCGGCTGCGCACATTAGAATGAAAAACTGCAGCAAGACATTTTTTAAACACGATTTACCTGATGTAAAACTTATATTTTAAATATTCCGTTTCAGAATTTATGGTACAAACATTGGGGATGCATTGATCCGTTCGATTACGTTACGGTAGAGAAATATTTGAAGTATATTCAGTACGTAAAACAAAACGATGGCCTGGAGGATGACGTTGTTAAACTATTGCCATACTTATTTAAGGTATGAAATTAATAAGTGTAAACTGTAAAAATCTTATTATAGGTATACTGCACCCGTCGGTTACAGCACTAAGCTAGTGGTATAGCTTTCGCTTCGGCTATGAGGTTGAACATGTTCAGGCCGGTAGTCAGACCAAATTTCAGGTGGAACAAACAAAATTTTAGGGGGAATCATTTATAAAACAATGTTGATTTCTAGTAGGTTTAATATTTTTAGAGAGGGCAAAGATTGTGGATAGGATGGCGACGTCCCCTCTCTCCTCCACCCCCTACCCAGCACACCCCGAAGCTATGGACCTCAACATGTCCCGCGCTTTTTAACATAATATGCATATTGCTATATACCGGGTATATTATATACCCAAACTAATTTTCCACCATGTTTTATCGAAATGATTATTTATTTATATTTTTAATTTATGTTTATTCAACATTTAAAAAATGACAACCGTCACAAAATTATTTGTCGTTAAAACTTACTATTATTAGTAATTTAAATATTTATATTTTTCACTAATTAGTAGTATTCTATAATTCTACAGATATATTTAATGGCTGTAGTTATAGCATTAACATAATATGTGTGAATTTGGTAAATTATTCAAGTAGGACAGTAGGAGGGCCTGGAGTGCCTGGACCCATGGTTATATACACTACGATATCTACCAGTATTTATGATACGAAATTTGGAGGGATCACACAATAACTTATGTGTTTTGTATTCCCCACCATTTTCATCACAAATAAAGTTCCTGCACTCTGATGTAGCTAGCATATATATAATTAATTATAACAACTGATTACTAATGATACTCTTTTGTTTTTATAATTCATATCCTTAAAAATGATCGGTACAATTTTACAATCTTAATTTTTAAATATCTTCAAACCACAATTATACGTTTTTATACGGTTACATTATCTAATTTAATAATCTAATTTAGTTTATCTTTAAATTAGCTACTCTGAATAATTTTTAATACTATTTAATAATAATATTTTTTTTTAATAATTTATATAACTAGGTATAAATAATATAAATGTTTCAGTAATTTTCCTTATTTATATCGATTTATGTAAATATCAATGCAGTTTGCTTGTTTTAAAGTAGGTAAATATTTATACAAAGATTTTTGTAATCGTAAAAATTGATTTTGATTTATTTGAACTATTGTTGCAAAAATAATTGAAAGTACTTATTGTTTTCACACAGGCTGTTGACAAAGACCAGAACGGTGATATCTCAAAAGAAGAATATATTAAGTTTTTAGAATGTATTGGGACATCAAAGAAGGTAATTATACTAATAAATAATTTTATACAATTACTATTGACGTATATTATGTTTATCTTGAATTCTTGGTGTTTAACAGCGCTATGCATTTACTGATTTTGAACATCAATTAATTTTATTTGAAACTATAAAATTAAGTGTGATAAAAATTTGGTTCATAACTTGGTGCCATTCTAAATCCAAAATTGTGCTTTACATATTTTAGTTCAAAGTGAAAAATAAAATAAAATATATATRTATAATTTGTTTTTTTTTTTAAATTAATCTAACTAAAAGTAAGAGAACAAGTTGTACAATTATATTGTAACAAGAATATTCGGAAGAATCAGAAAACCTTTTTTTATCATTTCCTATTGAATAATTTGAATGTATTCATTTTCGTAGTAATTTATCTGGGTTATAACTTTATAAGAGAATAATTTTCCGATAGCTATTTTAAATAAAATAAAATAGTGAGTGATTTTTATACCTTTTGTTTGTATCCGTATATTGAAATATAAC